GTGAAGTGTGTAATCACAGTGTAACATTTTAACCTTCATGGTAGGGATCTAACAGAAGCCACCAAGACTTCCTTGAAACTACCACATTTCTTGGAAGCTGGGGCAGTAGTTACCAATTGTCCAGCACTGAGACACTCTCCAATCTGTTGTATGTTTATTCTGCAAAATAAATATGCTAAACAACTTCAACATACTTAAGACTGTACATACAGAACAAGACCTTCATTTGGTGTAAAATGCCCCAACAGCACTGACTTCAGTGGCATGATACCATGGGATTTACAGTGAGAGTCTGGCATGAGAAGTATCTGAAGTATAATTATTTGATTAAGATATATAGTCAAAATGTTTGATTTTTAAATAGTGGAAAGGACTTCCTTTGCACACAGAGGAACATTTTTTTCATATAAGCAGAACAATGAAGTCCTGGTACTGGATACTGGCAGCTGTGTTTCTTGCACTCGCTTTGACAACAGAACACATTTACTAAGACTATCTTTCTTCTTTGGAGTTACTGTACATTTTTAATTTTCTATTTTCACTTGCTTAGCTGTTTTATTCTTCCTGTTCCCCTTCTCCCCCAAATTATAGCCTCTCCATTTTACTGAAAATTAAAGTAACTCTGGACAATTATTACTTTTGATATATTTTAAATCTAAAGCCTTATGAAATTGGGATATTTGTTCAAGTTCCAGCTCTTGGATTTGTTATAATTAATATCTAAGCAAAACAAAGTCCAAATTTATGCTTCATAAATCTCTCTTACTCCTTTCACAAAACTTACTAACGTCATTATGTTTCTATTCAAGCATTCCAATTTACATATAGGGTTTTCTTATAACATGCCTGGCTATAGATTTCTAAGAGTTTTTAAAATGTAATAAACACAAACATACAGAAAAAGCTCCACAACCAGGAACTGCTGTTGTTTTTTTTTTTTTTTCCTTTTTTTTTTTTTTTTTTTCCTATATTTTTTTTTCTTAAGCTAAAATCAGAGTAGGAGCTGGGAGGTCAGACTTTTTAGCAGATCAATAACAACAAGCCAGTGGGACTACTGGCAGGTGTGGACAAGATGAACTCCTAATGTTGTGTCCCATTTGTGTGACTGCTCCAGACCTTCTAGTTTTCACATGGAAATCCTGGAGTTACCAACCTCTAAGTGCAGCACGTCGTGAGCCCTCATGGCTTCAGTGCAAGACATCCAGCACCCTGGCACTGCCTTGGAGCGTTTGAACCCCAATGCCAGCCATCCCAACGCCTCTTTTCAGGCTCCCCTGCCTTTGAAACCTCATAGCACAGAACAGCTCCTTTCACCAAAGTCCTGCTCCTCTCTGCCTTCCCCAATTCCCTTTTCTCTCCTCCCTGCACCCTACTCTCATCTGTTGTCCCACCCCTTCACAGAGCTCATCTTCTGAGCAAGTCCCACCATACGACCAGTAATTTCCAACACAAACCAAATGTAGCCGTGCACCACTGTTTTGTATTCATTGTTTGGGATTTTTTTAATATTCTGTGCAGTCTAGCAACTTGTGTCCACTTCATCTAGTCAGTCTATGAACTCCTTGGGCCTAAAGCTGTGCTCATATAGGATCTAGCACAACAGTTCTCACCCAAAAATCAGCCCCTTCCTGCATTAGCCAGCATAATAAAAACAGCATGTGTTGAGCAAGAGTGAATCAGTCTCTCCCTAAAGCATTTAAAAAATCCGGAGGAGTCTGATAGAAGGAAAAACAAGGAAAGTGAGAGAAGAGGCAAGACATAAAGGAAACAAAATGGATGAGATAGTTTTCACTTGAAGCAGCATTCTGCGGTGCAACACCCTCTCCTTACTCTGCCATCTTATCCTGACAAGGTCAGGCTAGAAGCAGCATTCCTCTCCTTTATTCCTACATAATACTCCTTTTCTTTTTATTTTTTTCTTCCCTTCCTCCCTGAATTACTTTTAACATTTACTTCCTGCCCAGTCTGGCACTTACACGCAAAATAAGTACCTTTATGGCACTTACTGACTGGGGGG